GAGTCTCAGCGTTTTTTGGAGGTTCCTTGTAGAAATGCTTATGGGAATTATAAAACAACTAGAGGCCCAGTGCACAAAATTTGTGCATGGGGGGTGGGTATCCCACAGCCCGGCCTGCACCCTCTCCAATCTGGGACCCCTTGAGGGATGTCCAACTGCTGGTTTAGGCCTGATCCCACTGGCTCCTAACCACTCGCCTGCCTGCCTGCCTGATCACTCCCAACTGCCCTCCCCTGCTGGTCTAATCACCCCCAACTGCCCTTCCCTGCTAGCCTGATCTCACCCCTAACTGCTTGCCCCCCTCATGGCCTCATCACCCCTAACTGCTTGCTTCCCTGCTGGCCTGATCGTCCATAACTGCCCTCCCCCACTGGCCTGATCACCCCTAATTGCCTATGCCTTGGCCTCCACCACTGTGGCTTTGTCTGGAAGGAACTTAGACATCCGGAAGATGTCTGGTTGACCCAGTCTAATTAGCATATTACCCTTTTATAAGTATAGATTAGCACAGTAAACAATGCAGAAACAGAATAGTGGATTTTGTTATCCCAAGAATGAGGAAGAGAGTGGGCACATGACTAAGGAGATGACTTAGGCTTTAGGCTTCCAGAGTTTCACAGACCTTCCGACCTGTCTGGCAACACTTTTAGAAGAGACTTGTAGGCAGAGATTTTGAGAGCAAACAAGCCTTTATTAAGCATCACCTATGCTACATAGCTGGCTCATACATAGGAAAGTATGTAACTTGATATGGCCTACACTCTAGATGGTGAGGAAAGGCCTCCCCAAGGGGAAGGACCTCAGAAACAGAGCAAGCAGAGTGTATCAGCTGTATGAGCCAATGAACACGGTGGGTCTAGTAAATGTGTCTAAGAGTCCCAGAACAAAAGAGTCAGAGTGGAGAAGGCCTCCTTGGGGGTGCTCCATGGTGTGAGGCTGAAGGTAGGTCTTATGCTGGGTACCAGATAACATGATAAAAATGTGACTGCGGGACGGCTTTCTGTGAAATAGGACTGAACTTTTGCCAACCCTCATGGATAGGACCTAGTAAATTACATGTGCTAAGGTGGTAATGGTGAACTAGGTGAGCTTTGTCTGGAATAGGACTAATAAAATATGAAGTTAGGAAAACACTGAACATTTGGATTCTATAAAAATTTCAGTTGTACAAATTTGAAATGTTACTATATTAAAGCATTAGTATAGTTTCACTTTATTAATTTGAAATTAACCCAATCCTTAAAGGGCTTTCTTTGGGAGGAGACAAAAGTTCTGTTGATGCTAGCTCCATGTGGTAGAACCATTTTGGTGAGCAAACAGAAATACCCACTATTCTTTATCAGGATGAGACATGAATGATTCCAGTTTTAAATTGTAAGAAATCATTACTCCCTCAGGTAAAAGGCAATCACTTGTACCCAGAGAAGTAGCTGGTAGATGGAATGACTGCTGGACTCCCCTCTCTTCCCTTCAAAGGCTTCCCTTCTATTGCATTTTTAATCCCCATGGCTTTTCTTGCACATTTATCTATTCACTTGGTCCTCTTTCCCCCACCTCACCAATCTATTCAGCATCCCTTTCTCAGCCCCCTCTCATTTCCTCAGCAATTACAAGTTCAGGAGATGTACCAGCAGACGGAGACCAAATGCTCTCCATGGCCATTACCTTCATTGGAGACCAAAGAGGATACAATGCACATGTCTGAGAGAACCTACAAGGAGGAAGAAGGGATGGACAATGTGCCAGGTATCCTGGGCCCTATCTCAGGGTGAGCTCTCTGGGAGGAGAAGAGCTTGGTCATCTTTCTCTGACTGCTCCACTTCTGGCAGCAAGTGGTAGATGGGTCCTTCAGTGTTTGCGTAATATGGAGCTTTTTTGGATCCTGTCAGCTTCGACCTGGGACTGTAACAATGATGCCAAAAGGAAAAAACACCATAGATTCCTAACAGGCACAAAGCATTGATCATCACATGCCAGCAGAAGAAGGTGGTGACAAACATGATGTCACTGATGTCATCATCCTGCCATGGGTAGCCGGTGACTGGTCTGTACAGAATAAAGCCTGCCTGCATCAGCCAGGAGCCCATCATCAGAAACAGAAAGGCCTCAGTCATTGAGAGGTGAAATGCATTGGGAGTCCACAGCTCAACAGTCAATACCAGCATGAGCAGGAACACCACCAAGATGAGTAGAGAATGAACCTGCAGTTCCACCCCTGTCGAATCTTGAACATGTGACACCAACAGCATCAGGAGCACGTAGAAGATCAGGACCAGGGCACCTTTTTCTAGGAGCACACACCTCTGAGGCAGCAAGTTCTTGCTCGTGACATCTACACAGCCATTGAGGGTGAGGAGGATGAACATGGTGAGGTGCTGCCACTCTTTGGGGAGCATAAATCTCGGTGGCAGTTCCCTGTTCATCAGGACCAACCCTCCTTTAATGCAACTGTTCTCATAAGCTATCAAGATGGAGCCAGTCACTATTTTCAACAAACCTCGGTAGGATATTTCCCACAGCTTGGCCCATCTTCCCTTATTTCTTGGAAGACATGAAGGATTCAGGCAAGAGTCATTGAATATCACAGCTTTGGAGACCACTATTGCCTGATACAGTCCGTATGAAAATAGAAACAGCCCGGGGTACACATGACCGACAAAGGTTCCCATTGAACTACAGATCTTCTTCACGAAAGAGAGAAGAACAAAACTTAGGCACGTCCGCACCGTCTGGGGCCACTCCAAGGTCTGGACTTTGGAAAGAATTGCCTTCCACCAACTTTTATCATCTCACCCCTCCCACTGCCCCCCTACAGAGAGGAAATGTTTCTTGAATCAAACCTACACCTTTGGTGGTGTAAAGCATCATTGTTCCATTCCATTCTGGTACATTGGGAACTGGCTTCTGCCAAAGAAGAAAGTTGATGAATGTGTTTTTAGGGGCTCCCCTCTATGGCCTTTGGGGTGCTTCAGGTCACACTTGTCCCTTTCTCCCCTGGATTCCTTCCCCTTGTGCTGCCCAGCACTTAGAGCAGAAGGAGAGAGGACTAAGGGATGAGTAGGGGTTACCATGATATCCAGAGGAAGCCGGGGCACTCACAAACCCTTGAAAATCATTCAGTACCTCTGAGACATAACTTGGGTCCAATTGTAAGGTTTTCTTTCTGGATACATATATTTATAAACATTTGGATATATAACCATTTAATACATACTTACTGTCTACCTGGCTTTTCTATTCTTTTATAGACACATTCTGGAAAATGACCAAGAAAGCTCCCTTCACCTCCTCCCCTTACCTCTTCACATCTTTGTCCCACCCCTACCCCCACTTCAACATCTCCACTGGATCTAAAAAGCTTCCTTTTGAAGAAAGTGGTGGTTTTGTGGTGTATAAACCTAAGCTTGAGTCATGTTTCCCAGAATTCCCTTTCCTAAATGGTTCCAGGTTGAGCTGGCTACAAGAGAAATTTACCTGAGAATCTGAAGGTGGGAGTAAGGCAGCAACCTAAGCACACTTTGAAGGTGTAGGTGCCAGGGACCACTGTAGCTTATGCATTTGGTTACTGATCTGCTGGCTCACCTCCTTGGCAGGGGAAAGGGAGTTTATCACTCGACACGAGCCGTGCCATGCTAACATCACAGTCTCCTGCAAAATCATCTGCCCTCACAGTATAAGCAATGCTGTGAGCAGGGAGTTGGCACCTGCATGCTGACAGCGCCCCTGGTGGAGAGGAGGAGAATTCACACCCAGGTCACACAGCGTTGCCTCAGCAAATACCTACTCTTCCTCAAGTCCACTTAATTCCAAAAAACTAAAATTTCTCTCTGCCCTCGAGGATGGCAATAATTTAGATTGCTTCTTGCTATTCAGAGATTTGGTCGGAATGGGTATTGGAGTGTGAAGGCAAGTAGGAAAAACAAAGCTTAATTCTGCTTTCTGAAGGACTTTGCTTTATTTCAAATTTTAATTTTAGGCGTTTTTATCCATTGTATAGTCATTGTGGGAAAAAACACAGAGAAACATCTAAGCAAAAAGAAGAACATTAAAAAATCATCTGTAACCCCACAGTCTGAAGGTGACCATTGTCACCACTAAGGTATAGAAACACAGTCTATGAAGGCAGCCTGACAAAGTGGGAAAATGCATTGACTGGAAGCCAGAAATCTGGGTTCTAAATCCAGTTCTCCCTTGATTCACTGAATTTCATACTCCTTAACTGAAAAAAATAAAAATCGAGTGTTGAACGTTCGATTAAAGTGAAAATAAAAGGGCATGGATACTGTTACACAGACATGAGCTTATTTATCTCCTGACTGGTTTTTCCCATTTGGTGAATTTTCAAAATACTTGGAGCACACTGTAAAGCTCAGTGCTTGACTCGAAGTGACAGGTTTTATGACTCAGGAAGGAGAGGACCCCAGGGTTTCTCTTTGGTTCTTAGATTTGCTCTGGGAGAAGCATAGGGTCCATTGCTCCTCCGGGGATCAGCAGTGCTGGGCTAGAGATCGTGGCCTGTAGGTCCCAAGAGGGGCTGCATATGGTCATTCTTAATTGTCTCCGGTACTTTGAGGCTGTGGGTCCCAGTGAGGTGGGGGCAGTAGAGCTCATTCCAGCTCCCACACTCGTCTCCCCAGTTGTTCCTGGCAGCCATGAGCTCGTTGCCAGTGGCCAGAGGAGGAGAGAGAACAGCAGTACTGACCCAGTAGAGATGACCCAGCAGTTGCAAGTGGCATGGATGAGGACAAGTAGCCCATCCTGGATGCTCAGGCCCCCACCTTGGCCACACACCAAACAATGCTGCATGTTCTTTGAAACATGAACACTCTGATCTCTCGGCTTTGAAGATAAGAATCTCCCACCCCAAACCGGACACTGCCCACAGGTAGCCGAGAAGAAAGCCAAAGGGAGTGAATGATTAGCAGAGCTGGCAGACAGTCCTGAGTCTGTGGGCATTGAGTGCCTGGGAAGCTGTTTCCTAAGGAAAACTCACCTTGATCATGGAGCCCGTGGAGGTCTTTCATGGCCTGGCTGCTCCATGGTGAGGCTCCCCTCAGACCTGCATCCCCCACCCCATTCTCGAGGGTCCCCAGACACAGCCACTGCCACTTACCTTGTTTGATATGCTAGAATGAGTAGGAAGGTCCCCAGGAATTTAGTAAACATGAACTTAATAAAATCTGTGAATTCTGAATGCCGCAGGGCATATAAAAAATATATCGTAGTTCTTATCCTCAAAGAGCTTACTATTTAGTTGAAGGCACACAGTTCTATATACACATACACACACACATACACTGAAGACATGAGAAAACTAGACTACCTCTCCTATAGAAATCAAGTGTCACATGTAAGTTAAAAATTTCTAACAGCAACATTAAAAAAAGCATATAAAAGTGGAATTAATTTTAATGAGATATTTAACCCAACATGTCTAAAATGTTATTTCAACATGTTATTATAAAAACTATAAATGAGCCCTAGCCAGTTTGGCTCAGTGGATAGAGCATCAGCCTGCGGATGCAAGGGTCCCAGGTTCGATTCCGGTCAAGGGCATGTACCTTGGTTGCGGGCACATCCCCAGTGGGGAGTGTGCAGGAGGGAGCTGATCGATGTTTCTCTCTTATCGATGTTTCTAACTCTCGATCCCTCTCCCTTCCTCTCTGTAAAAAATCAATAAAATATATTAAAAACAAAACAAATAAAACTATAAATGAAGTATTTTATGTTCCTTATTTCATACTAAGCCTTTAAACTCCGGCATATATTTTATACTTACAGCACATCTCAATTCAGACAAACTAAATTACAAGTGTTCCATAGTTGTGTATAGTTAGGGCTGCCATAGTGGATTGTGCGGATTTAGGAGAGAATGACATGTTGAGTGAATTTCAGTTTTAGTGAAAAGAACAGTTTGGAGAGGACGTAGAAGTTTGGTCAGAAATGGCATCTAGGGAGCCACAGTATAAGCTTTTCAATGGCTGGGGGGTTTTAGTATGGTGCTATCTACAAGCATCTTTTAATTTACTTCCTTTCTCTTTAGGAAGGCGTTTCTCCTCGTCGTCGTCATCGTCATCATCATCGTCATCATCATCATCAGAAAATGATTGCAGCTCACCTTTGCTGCAAGGCAGAAATACATCAGAGGAAGAGAGAAAGCCAGAGACTGGGGGCTCCAGCAGAACCAGACACAAGGTCAGAGATGGCACGTGTGTTATTGCTGGCATTTGACTTTATGAGCGTAGCAGAAATACCCTTCTGTTGTGTTAAGCCAATAGGAGTTAAGGGTTTGCCTGGTTTTAAATCAGGTAATTAATATACATTGTCTACCAAGCCTCCAAGAGGCTCACTGAAAGCTCAGTAAATTCCTTAATTTTTATGTGACGAACATCCAAAGGGTTATGTTTATTATTCCCACCCAACTTCCTCCTCTACCTTCAGTATCTCACAATCTAGAATTCTCATGTACTCTGTCCAAGCCACTGTTTGGGGGCCCAAGAAACTAAATTCCACCTTATGATTATAGACACAGAGCATAAGAACTCGATGGGCCTGAAGCTCCTCATTCTCATTAGGATCTCAGCTTCATTTTGGATACAGTCTTCCAGTGACATCAATGATGAGAGAGAATCATTGATCACCTGCCTCCTGCATGCCTTCTCTGGGGATTGAGCTGGCTACCTGGGAATGTGCCCTGACCAAGAATCGAACTGTGACCTCCTGGTCCAGAGGTCAACCACTGAGCCACACCAGCCTGGCAGAGCCATAAATCTTTAATGAACTGTGGTGTTTCTCATCCCTAACCTGTGCTGGATAAACCTTCACCCAAAATGAATACGACCTGCATTAGTTTTCTATTGCTGCATAACAAATTAACTTCAATATAGGAGTTTAAGCAACACAAATGTATTATCTCATGGTTTCCATGGCCAGGAATGCAGTATGGGTTGGCTGAGTCCTCTGCTCAGATCTCGCCAAGGTGATGGCTGGGGCTGGGATTCCCATCAGAGGCTCAAGATCCTATTGCAAGCTCACTGGATGTTGGCAAAATGCAGCTCCTTGCAGTTCTAGGACCCAAGCTTCCGTTTTCTTGCTGCCTGTGAGTCAAGGACTGCTCTCAGCAACTAGAGTTTGCTCGCATTTCCTTGCCATATTGCCCCCAATAGGAAGTTCATGACACGGCTGTTTGCTTTCCTTCAGGCTAAGAAGGTTGCATCTCCCTGATGGCTCACGTTCTTGTAAAGACCTCACCTGACTAGGTCAGACCCACCCAGGGCAATCTCCCTTTTCACTAATTTAAATGCAACTTATTATAATATGAGGAAAGAGCTTGGATTCAGAAATCGTCTTGTTTTTCAACTAGTTTACTATATATTTGTATTTCTGAGGTTCACTGTCTTCAGCAAAGTGGGCATAAATTATTATTATTAAATAAAAATAAGCTGCCTCAAAAATATTACTACGAGGGTTAATAGTAACATATAAAGAACCTTGCACACAGTAAGTGCTCAATAAGTCATATCTATTTAATAAAGATATATTAAAGTAACAACAACAACAACGAAATAAATTCAACTATTACAAACGAACCATGGAATGCTATTCCATTACATTCACTGGTCCCACTCATACTCAAGAAGAAGGGATTATACAGAGTGTGTACACCAGGGGCAGGAGTCTTGGGGACCATCTTAGAATTCTGCTGACCACACCATCTAATCTTCCTTTTCATTCATTACTATAAGTTGCACTATAATTGTGTATGTCTGTTTGTGTCTTTCTCATTATTGTATTGCTAATACCTACACAGTACCTGGAAAAAAGTAGCTGTTTAAGATTTTTTTAATGAATGAATTAATCCTTTGATCATCTTCATTGAATTTGGAAGATCCCCTTAATTTATTATCTACCTGTTTACAAATTAGTCTCCTTCACTGTAGGTTCACTTCAGTGAAATTCAGTTAAAAAGTTTTTCTCTTATCATTGTTCCAAATATCTGGGGGTGAATTCTGTTTAAAGCTCTGGTCTCTGAAATTACTCTATTAGTGTCTATTGGGACTCAGAGAGGGTCCCAATAGGAAATAGATGGCAACCTAAATTGGAATAGTTCAAGGAGGGCTTAAATGGGTACTTCTTACACAGATGTGAGCTGGGTGTAAGGTGACCGCAAGGGATAGTTGAGTAACAGATGGAGCTGTAACTGCCTTTAGGCCCCAAGGGACATGGGACAGAAGGTCCTGGTATGGGCAAGCACAGTGTGGTGGCTTGCGTGGTGGCCTCTAAAAAGATATTTCCAAGTCTTAACCCTGGAACCTATGAAAGTGACCTTATTTGGCACAAGGGTCTTTGCAGATATAATTAAGTTAAGGATTTCGAGATGAGATCATTTGGCTTTAAGGTAGATTCTATATCCAATGGCATGTGGCTTTATAAGAGAAAGGCAGAGGACAAGGTGAAGGTGGAGGCAGAGATTGTTCTTTTTCTGAGCGATGGACACTTATATTTTCTTTTTTTTAAATATATTTTATTGATTTTTTACAGAGAGGAAGGGAGAGGGATAGAGAGTTAGAAACATCGATGAGAGAGAAACATCGACCAGTTGCCTCCTGCACACCTCCTACTGGGGATGTGCCTGCAACCAAGGTACATGCCCTTGACCGGAATCAAACCTGGGACCTTTCAGTCCGCAGGCCGACGCTCTATCCAGTGAGCCAAACTGGTTTGACAACACTTATATTTTCTGCCCATTTTTATATCAGGTTGCATTTTGTTTGTCAGTGTTAGAATATCTCTATATATTCTGGATACTGATTTTTTTTTTGTCTGTTACATGTGTTAAAAATATTCTTCCCAGTGTCCCTTTTATTTTTTTAATATATTTTTACTGATTTCAGAGAAGAAGGGAGAGGGAGAGAGAGATAGAGACATCAATGATGCGAGAGAACCACTGATTGGCTGCCTCCTGCATGCCCCCCACCGGGGACCGAGCCCACCACCCAGGCATGTACCCTTGACCCAAATGGAACCCGGGACTCTTCAGTCTGCAGGCCAATGCTCTATCCATTGAGCCAAACTGACTAGGGCTGTCTCTTTTCTTTTTTTTCTTTTTCTTGTGTCTTTTAATTATGGGAAAGCTCATTAAAATGGGTAATCTTTTTAGAATTTGTCTTGCTCAAGAAAGTTTCATATCTTTTATTATAAAATATCTTCCTGTATTTCCTTTAAAATAATTTGACAGTCTTATTACTGATGTTTAACTTTTCAATCCATCTATAATTCTTTCCTTGTGTGTTGGCTGAGGTAGAAACTAAGGGTTTTTCTCCCAAAATGGAGAGTCAGTTATTCCTCACATTAATTGAGGAGCCCTTTCTTAGCATGTATTTAGTTCTCACACTGTATTTCTGTGTCCGGAGCGTCTATTACATTATACTATGTTGATGGGCAGTCCAGTGGTACTTGCTTGCTCCTATACCACAGCTTTAATTATAGAATATTTATAATGTATTATGAAAGTTGGTAAAGCAATTTAATCCTCATATGTAGAGGCCAACGTTATATTCCTCTGGAACATGCTGAGCAAATGAGGTGCCTAGGATATGACAGATCTCTGCTCTTAAGGAGACAGCCTTGAGTGGGTAAGGCAAAACTCCCCTGTGAGAGACAGTGTGAGAAACAGGACAAAGAATGTATCATCAGCATGGAAAAAACAAGGCAGATTTAGATGAGGTGCTGAAGAGTTCAGATCAAAAGAGTATGTGAGAATTTTCTGGAGAAATAATTCTCGGTGGCAGTAGTGTTAAGTTTTAATGTCAGGTATAAAGTAACACTATAGTTAATATGTGACTGGCGATGGCTTTTTCCAAATTGCACAGGGTGTCCTTTGGCAAAGGCGCAAGTGTAGGATAGAGCAAAGTAGGATCTAGTAAATTCCTGGTAGGGCTGGTGGTAGTTAAACAAGTAGCTACGTCTTGCTTTGGCTGGATTAGAAATCAAGAATAAGAAATGTGCTACCACTTAATGGAAATTTGGTTTATGGGAATTTGACAAACTGTGATATGAAAGTACTGATTCTTTATGTGGAAAATTTGAAACAATCCTGATCTATCCAAATTTTAAAATGTATGTATGATGTTCTTATTACTGTAACCAGGTGAGAGAAGTGGATTATACCATAAATGTTTCACTTTAGTTGGCAAACAGAAATACCTACGATTGCAATTTTGATTTGTGAGAAAGTAGTCTTTATTCCACAAGTAAAAACCTGGAGAAACAGCTGGTGCTGGCATGACTGCTGGACTCCACTCTCTTCCATTCAGAGGCCGATCTTGGATTGCATTCTTTAACTCTAATAGCTTTTCTCCCACATTTATCTATTCCTATGGTCCTCCCCCCAATACATCAATCCCATCAGCATCCCTTTCTCAGCCCCCTCTCTCCTCATCTCCTCAGTGATTTGAGGTTCAAGGACAGGAGATGTACCAGCAGACGGAGACCAAATGCTCTCCTTGGCCATTACCTTCATTGGAGACCAAAGAGGATACAATGCACATGTCTGAGAGAACCTACAAGGAGGAAGTAGGGATAGACAATGTGCCAGGTATCTCAGGGTGAGCTCTCTGGGAGGAGAAGAGCTTGGTCATCTTTCTCTGACTGCTCCACTTTTGGCAGCAATTGGTAGACAGGTCCTTCAGTGTTTGTATAATATGGAAGCTTCTTTGGATCCCATCAGCTTCGACCTGGAACTGTAACAATGATGCCAAAAGGAAGAGATGCCATATGTTCCCAGTAGACACAAAGCATTGATCATCACATGCCAGCAGAAGAAGGTGGTGACAAACATGATGTCACTGATGTCATCATCCTGCCATGGATAGCCAGTGACTGGTCTGTACAGAATAAAGCCTGCCTGCATCAGCCAGGAGCCCATCATCAGAAACAGAAAGGCCTCAGTCATTGAGAGGTGAAATGCGTTGGGCGCCCACAGCTCAACAGTCAACACCAGCATGAGCAGGAACACCACCAAGATGAGTAGAGAATGAACCTGCAGTTCCACCCCTGTCGAATCTTGAACATGTGACACCAACAGTATCAGGAGCACGTAGAAGATCAGGACCAGGGCACCTTTTTCTAGGAGCACACACCTCTGAGGCAGCAAGTTCTTGCTCGTGACATCTACACAGCCATTGAGGGTGAGG